CATCTCTCGGGCTCGCCCAGGTCTCTTCTTTCCGGGCCCCATGCAATAGACGCAGCGGACCTGACAGCATCCTATGGGCACAGGGGCAGCGGGCCCCTGCGGCAGCCCCGTATGCAGGGAACAAGCAGGCAGGAGGAGGAAAGCGGTGCAGGGTGTTGTTAAGAGCCCACCCCACTGGTTCCAAATCTGCCTGTGACTCTTCCCTGTGGATTCGGGCAAGCAGCTCCCCTCCCCCAGCCTGTTTCTCCCCTGAAAACCCATCCTTTACCTGGACCAGAGTTTTGGTATACAACAGGTGCTCAGTGCATGGTCACTACTATTGTCCCTGAGAGGAGGGCGCTAAGGGCCCCATTTTACAGCTGAGGCATTAACCTGGGGAGACTGGGACAGAACCCACAGCTTACTCTCCCCCTCTCCCCACTGTACCCCTTGAGTCAAGGCCAGGGCTGGACCCAGCAGTCAGTGAGAGGCATGGTCTCTGTTACTTCAGAATCGACTCCCCACAGCCCTGTCCTTCCCCATTTCTTCCCCCTGAGACCCGCTGCACTCCAGGTGGGCCTGTCCTCACTTCCCCCTTTTTTAAGGGGCCACCTTCCCTGCCCCAAGGGGGAATCTGAAACTAGTGGTCCCTCCTTCCATCCCAGAGCTGCCCCTTGGGCCCTGGCCCCGCCTCCTCCCCCATCTCAGGACCAAGCCCAGGGGTATATCCAACTCTGGGTGTGTCCCTCTACCCTGAAGTCTCCCAGCCTGGCAGGCAAGAGAACCTGTGCATTTCTCACCAGCCTGCAGGGGATGGAGCCCCAGGACCTGGCTCCTGGGTGCAGCTTCCTGGCAGCCTCAGTCTGGGTGGGCTTGGCTCCTTCCTACTGGGTGCTGGGGTCCCAGTGGAGGGGGTGGGGCCAGGTGAGCCCCTAGAGGAGGTGCAGACTTCTGTCCTCTGGTTGGGGATCACACACCAACCTCTTGCCCCACAGACAGAGGCCCAGAGAGGGGAGGCATCATGCCCCAAGTCACACAGCAACTCCGGCTCACATATCCTGCCTTTCATCCCCTGGGTGGGCATGAGGGAGAAACCAGAGACGGCATGAACAGCTCAGTTCAGAGTCAGATAAACTGAGACTCAATGTGCCCACTGGACAGTGCTCAGATGTCCCCTCCCTTGGGGAAGGATGGCCTAAAGCCCTTGGCCAGAGACTGTCCAAGCACAGGAAAGAGAGAATCAGAAAGACCTGGGCACCAGTCCTCGTTCTGCCATCTACTGGCTGGGTGACCTTGGGCCAATTACTTAACCTCTCTGTTTTCTCCTCTAGGAAACAGGGTAAACCCAGCACTGCCCCCATCTGGCTGCTGTGAGTATTGAGTGCTCTAACGGATGGAAAGGGCCCTGCAGGGTCCGTGTACCAAATGCCCCTGTCCTTGCTATTCACTGGCCTCACCCTCAGGCTTGCCTAGTCCACAGAGAGGTCCTGTGGCTCCCGGCCAAAGAGCAGCTTCTCCTGACAGGTAGTAAGTTCTCCACCGTGGGGTATTCCAGATGACAGGACATGGCTGGGCGGATCGAGTCCCTGCTTGGAGTAGTACTAGATGAACTAACCCCTTCTCTTCCCGGGCCTCCCCAAGGAGGCCTCCTCCCAGCCAGGTGGATGGTCAGCGGTGTCCCACCCCTCCCACGGGCTTCTGCAGACAGCCTTAGGGGGAAAGTGGGGACTGGAAGGAGAGATCTGTTTACCCCAAATACAGAATAAAGAGCCAGTGATGCTGCTGTTGAAGTCCAGGAGCTCAGTAGCTGCCCTGACAGGCTGTCCATCTGTTTGTCAAGGGCAGGGCCAGGGGCCAGGGGAGGGCGGGGGCTGGGCTGCTGGACAGCAAAGCCCAGGAAGGACCTCGCCTGGGCTCAGGGTTCTACTTGTCGTCGTCCACAGCTGCCCCGTACCCCGCTCCCCTCACTCCAGCTGGACCAAGCCAAGTTGACGAAGGCCAAAGAACACCATTCACTCACACGAGGGGCCCCAATAAATCTTGATTTCAAGAGAAAGTGGGCCCTGGAAGCCTGTGAATCCCATGATAAGGGACCCATCAGGCAGATAGATTCCCAAGCTGGCTGGACTCTGGGGTCATGGCACGGGGCCACTCTGGCCCTGGGATGAGGACTTTGTCCAAGGCAAGAATGGGCAGCTCTCAGCGGTGGGGCCTGGCCCTGCTGGGAGAGGTCAAGTCTGCATTCCTGAGAGGCCCCAGTGCCTCCCAGGGAAAGCCAGGTACCCAGGGAGCCCTTCTGAGGCCTGAGGTTGCCTTTCTTTGCATTTGGAGGACGGTGGGGGGCATGGGGTGTTCAGGTTTTGTCAAGAGAAACTGTCAGCTGGACACAGAGACAGACAGACAGGCAGAGGAGGAGGCTGAGGGGCCGAGGGAGAAGATGCTGGAATGGGGGTGGGCCGGGTGCTCTAGCCTCAGGCTGGTGCCCAGGGCTGGTGCTTGGGAGTGATGAGCTGGGGCAGGGGTGGGGGTGGGGCTCAGAGGGCACTGGAGCCAGGCACCTGCCCTGCCAGAGGCCATGTCCTGCCCATGCTGCCCTGAGTGGGCAGCTGTGGGGAGGGGGGACGTTTCCTCTCCCTCTTAGGGCCCTCTTGGGGGCTCATGGGTTTCACTGGGAGTGATTCCTTAGTAAAGCTTCCAGCTTGGATGGTGCCCTTTTAATTAGATTATCCCAAATTCCCTCTGTCACTGGGTTATTAATATTTATCTGGAGCACACCTGATATGATTCGATCAGTGGGCCTGGGAGGGATGGAGGGGGCTGCCCCTCCTTCTCCCTTCCCTCCTGCACCTCTCCCCCATTCCCACCCCGGTCACCTGCCCTCATACCACTTCCACTCCCCAAGTCCCCTCCCTCTGGAAGCCCCAGGCACTTCCCTGTCCTGCGTGCCCCTCTCCCTTGGTGCCCCTTCCTGCCCACCACATGGGCAGGAACCCATCCACATGGTGGCCCCGAGGCGTGTGCCCAGCATAGGGCACCCACATGAGGACATGCAAGGAGCAGGGGTGGGAGGGATCCCACGCAAAACGTGCAGGGGGCTCTCTGCTCCTGGCCCATGGTTACCGCTGAGACACCCTCTGTCCAAACCCAAGGAGCCCACGAGGTCTGGCTCTTTCTTTTGACTGGGGCCCTGGTGCCCAGGCACAGCTGCATCTCTGCCCCCATCCTGTCCCTCTGCAGGGAAGCCACCACCACCACACACACACACACACACACACACACACACACACACACACACACTATAACTAGGGTCCCCATGCCTGGACTTGGAGAAAAGGCCCAATGGGTGTGAAATCAAAAGAAGCAGCAGGGCTTCCCTGGTGGCACAGTGGTCGAGAGTCCGCCTGCCGATGCAGGGGACACGGGTTCGTGCCCTGGTCCGGGAGGATCCCACATGCTGTGGAGCGGCTGGGCCCATGAGCCATGGCCACTGAGCCTGTGCGTCCGGAGCCTGTGCTCCGCAATGGGAGAGGGCACAACAGTGAGAGGCCGGCATACCGCAAAAAAAAAAAAAAAAAGAAGCAGCAACAGGCTTCCCTGGTGGCACAGTGGTTAAGAACCCACCTGCCAATGCAGGGGACATGGGTTCGAGCCCTGGTCCGGGAAGATCCCACATGCCATGGAGCAACTAAGCCCGTGTGCCACAACTACTGAGCCCACACGCCACAACTACTGAAGCCTGTGTGCCTAGAGCCTGTGCTCCGCAACAAGAGAAGCCATAGCAATGAGAGCCCTGCGCACCACAACAAAGAATAGCCCCCGCTCACCTCAAGTAGAGAAAGTCCACACGCAGCAGTGAAGACCCAATGCAACTAAAAATAAAAAATAAATAAATTAAAAAAAAAAAAAAAGCAGCAACAAAGCCCTTCTGCAGAAAATGGGATGGATCTGAGAGACACTGGCCCTCTTCCTGGGGAAATGGGAATTAGCACCAAGGATTATTTTTGAGGAAGCGGTGCCCCACTGTGCCCACATGTACCACCTTCTGAACAGGCCCCAGTGGGGGCTCCAGGCACCAGGACCCTAGTTCCCCAGGCCTCTTGTGGGCAGGCAGGGGAGCACCTGCCCACCTCCCTCCCTCCTGGGAGACCAGTTCCTGGTGAGAATCCCAGGCTTTGCAGAGATGCCACTGTGTGGCTGAATCCCACAGCCAGGCCTGTGTCTGGGATTCAACAGGACAGCTGAGAACAGGAGTGGGAAGCCCGTGCAGCCTGCCTCCAGCCTTGTGCAAAGCTACCTGGTGTCCCAGGCCCTAGGGGCAGGGCATACCAAGCAGGCTTCCACCCAAACTTTGGAACCTGTTTTCTGGAAAGGAAAACCCCTATGGGGAGCCCAGTCCTGCCCAGGCTTTGGCAGTCTCTTAGGTACCCATCCTCAGCCTGGGCAGGAGCCACAGGAGTCTGTACCCATCACTGGGACACCCTCTGGTGGTGTGTCCCCTCTAATCGAAGCCAGTTTCTGGGGGCCCAGCAGCTCACTCTACAAGCAGACCTTGGCATTCTGGGTCAGTTTCAGGCTCATGATGGGAGTGGAGGTCTGTGCAGGGACCCAGGAGGCCAGGCCGGTTTGGTGAACCAATAGCTACATTTCAGATTCTGGGGGCCTCCCCGCATTTTGGGGACCCAGAAACCTCTTTGGGGCTGGCCTGGCAACTGCACTCTGGCCCAGCAGATTGAGGGGAAGGACAGTGGCCTTTTTGGTAAGATTCAACTCTGCAGAATCCTTTGGTCACTGCACGGGGGAGGGTGCAGATGCAGCAGGCAAGGAGGGGGTGGGAGAGACTGCAAGCTGGAAGTCGGGGGTGGGGGGCCAACTCCCAGCCTTGCTGTGCTGTCCCACCTGCCAGCTCTTGAAGAAACACCTGTGGGAGCAGTGCCTCTTCCTACCTGCTCTGGCCCGAGTCCAGTTCCTGGGTCTCACCCACCTGAAAGACCCCACCCCCCCACCAATAGCTCTGAGGTATGCATTCCAGGCAACGCGGGGAAGAGCTGAGCTCTTTGTCTCATGCCCCTTCGAAGCCAGCAGTTCACCTCTCCTGGAAATGCTTTCACCCCTGCGTCCCTGTGCACTGGATACCTCCCACCCACTCCTTGCCACTCTGCTTCAGGCTGCTGACTCTGAGCCCTAAAATTCTGCTATTTATCAGCCTGGCTCAGGCAGTCATGTGGCCCTGTGAAGCACTAAGACCAAGAATGGGGGTGGGGAACTCCCATCTAAATGAATCATTTGACAGAACCTGGGGATTTATCAGAAAACCCAAAGGATGCCTGGGCTTTGGAGAAAGGCAGAATGTGCCTGGAAATAGAACGGATGCTGCCATTTGGGTAGGTGGGTGGGATTCCCCCAGAGGGCACCTGTCCAGAGGTCTGAGGGTCTCCAGCACCTTTTTTCTAAAGTTTCTAAAGTTTTCCAATAGGGGCAGGAGGTGGGCAGAACAGAGGACAGGGCCTGGATACCAGACAGTGCCCTGGGAGGACTGTCATCCCCCTCCCCCCACTGTGTGTACTCCTCATTGGTTTTTTTGTCTCAGATGGTTGCTTTAAGTACACTTGGATTTCCTTTTACAGAAGGACACTGAGACCCCACATCGGAACGCGGGCTCCCAATTGAGCTCACATGAACGGCCAAAACTCCCCACTCCCTTACACTCCCTGTGCTCATGCACCTTGGACAGAGTAAGGAGCCCTGCAAACGATGGGCTTCTCCCACAAGGGACGAGTCCACACCAAGAGTCCTGGAGGGCAGAGGGGATGGGACACCAAGAGGTCGGTGACTCAAGCGTGGCTCTCCTGAAGCCCAGCCCTTTGGCAGCGCCTCCTGTGACCACAATTGCCTCTGCCCAGCTCTCCCCACCAGAAAAGTGGAGAGCAGCTAGTTGCCACTCTTGTCATTAAGTCATAAACTCTTGATAACATTTACTATCCTTCAGTCTTTATTTTGGACAGGGCCCCGTCCTCTACCCTTTGAGGTCTTTTTAGTCATTTGTTGTGCCTCTCAGAATCTTCTATCCATCCCCCTGTAGCTGGTGTCCAGACAGGCACTGGCCATAGTTCTCCAGTGAACTGATCTAAAGCTCTGACCTCCTATCCCAGAGGGCTTCCTGGGCCTTGCCCATTGCCATATTCTACTGTTAGGTTTTAAAATTGCTGGACAATTGGGCTCACTAACCGTTAACTTGTGGCCACTAGGACCCCCCATGTCTTTTTCTATTTGTGTTTATTCATGGCCAGTAATCAATGAACCCCGTGAACTTTCTGTTTGGTCCCTGATGAAGGTTTCCCACTTTGTTGAACTGCACATGTCTCTTACTGGTTGAGGGGGTTTTGAAGCTGTTTCTCCCTCCTGAGGGGCTGCTATACCCAGCCTGTGGCACTATCCCCCTGTTGCACCAACTTAATTTCAGCATCCAAACAACCATTTAGAAAACCATTAAGCCCTTCTCTCTAACAACTCAAAATATAAAGTGCTCTCTTTTGTTCAATGTCAAAGCGCCGATGAAAGAGCTTGTGGCATCTGACCTATCAAGGCAGACGTATTATCACATTCAGAGAATGAATAGCATGTTTTCAAACCACTTTTATCTAAATTACACAGTACATGCCCCAGGAGCCCAGAGGTCTGGTTATTCTCTTGAGATGCAGAGAGAGGAGGGCCTCACAGGTGAGGGAGGGGGTCCACTGAGGTGGAGGGATGACTTTAGGGGTGTCCCAGGGCCAGCAACTGAATGTGGCCCATGAGGCCACTGGCAGGTGTCCTCCAGTCTGCAGAGAGCATGGCAGTGGCTGGGTGGGACCCTCCCCAATGGCCATGAGGAGGTGAGGGTGTGTGAAGACACAACCCCTTTAACAGTGAGATCCTTCATGTGGCCCAATAACGCACAGAGATGACTGGGGCCCTGTTCTCACTGTAGTTTTTCTTCTGAGCATCTCCCAGGCTTGTCAAGCCCTTGTGCTCCTGCCCCTCCAGGTTTCTGCCGAGTGGTGGGAAGGAGCCTGTGGCCAGCCTCCTGTGGGTTCTGTTCTAAAAGCTGGTGCTCCTTGAAGAGAGGTGGACGATGGAACCGGGGAGGGAAAGGGGCTGCCTGAGGCCTCCCCGCCCTGTGTGTACGTGAGTGTGTGTGTATAGTGGTGGTGGCTTCCCTGCAGAGGGACAGGATGGGGGCAGAGATGCAGCTGTGCCTGGGCACCAGGGCCCCAGTCAAAGGAAAGAGCCAGACCTCGTGGGCTCCTTGGGTTTGGACAGAGGGTGTCTCAGTGGTAACCATGGGCCAGGAGCAGAGAGCCCCCTGCACGTTTTGCGTGGGATCCCTCCCACCCCTGTTCATTGCATGTCTTCATGTGGGTGTCGGGGGGAAGGAGAGACACCAATAACAACTGAGACTTAACTGGGTTGGCAGGGCTCATAATGGGATTCAACTTGACTGAAAGGAAATGATCTCAGTGACATTTCTGGCTCACCTGAGTCTCTGCAGCCAAAGGCCACTCAGAACCGAGGAGTTCAAGGTTTGCCCCGGGGGCCCCAAAAGTGCAGACACTGAGTGGCTTCTCCCAGGGCCGGCAAGGCAGTTTTGCTCACGGAGCGTTTGTAGAGTACGTGCTGCCCGCCCCAGAAACCCCAGTGACCTGGTGTGCTCAGCCTCGGGCCCCTGGAGCAGGTCCATGGGACAATGGTACCCGTCTCCCTGGTGGGGCTGGCTGAACGGATGCATGAAGGAATGATAGGACTAGGGTGGTGCACAGGACGCTCACTCTCTGAAGTGAATGGGCCCCAGGGGCGGGGCGGGGGTGTCTCTGCCGCTAGCAGGGGTGTAAAGCGAACCGTGCAGATGGCCTGTCCGCGCCACAACAGACAAGCTGCTCCCAGGCCCAGCCCTCAGGACCACAGGACAACAGAGGCCAGGTCTTTCCAGGGGCCACCCTGGAGAGTCTGGCTCTAGGGCAGCACATCCCTGTGCCCGTGTCTACACGGCTGTTACTTCTGGGAGAACTAGAGCAGAGCAAAGACAAACACCTGATGGAGTATCCTGGCTGGGCCAGACCCAGGAAACCAGCTGCCCGACAGGTTTGAAAGGCCCTCTCGGGCAGGGGCATGGCCCAAGGTGAGGGCCACAATGGCCTTGACCCATTGCAGGGCTGCTCTATGGGGTGGGACGGCCCCTTTCTGAGGACGAACTGACCCACAGCCGTGCCCTGGAGGGTGGTGATGGTAGGGCTGGTGCCCCTGAACTCCAGGCTCCCTCTCTGTCTGCACTCGGCCATCAGGGGCGACTTCAGATCCCAGGTTAGGGCCAGGCATGAGGGGGAAGCAGCGCCTCCCACTCACAAAAGGACAGAGAAGGTCTAAGTGGAGCCACCAGCCAGGCACGACAGCTGATGCCTCAGTGGGGCCTGCTGCCCCTCCCGGCCACGTGGCCAGCCAGCCTCCGGCAGCGGCACTCCTGGCCTGCAGAGAACGGGTGACAAAGCTCTCTGTCGTCTCAGCCAAGGCCAGGTGGGTGGAGGATGAGACAGACCCTGCAGACACGAGACCCCCAGGGGTGCAGACATGCAGGAGGGCGGCATATGCACCCTCCTCCCCTCTCACGCAAAGGGACGAAAAGGTACACACAAAACCACAGAAAACCAGCTCGCAATCCCACAGGCACGTGTTAGGGCTGGGAGCCCTCCACCCACCAGCACGGTCCAGGAGAACCAGGACAGGCCCCAGCCCCCTTGCCCACCTCCCTGTAATCCCTGGGGCATGTTCCCTATTGTAGGGCTCCAGGGGATGGAGATGAGAGAAGCTGATGCCTGAATTCTTCCTTTAACTCCCACCCTTAACAAGGTCAAATTCATTTTCTTTGCCTCCGTAAAAAGTTCACAAATGCAAGTCTTCGGCTTTTCCTGAAATCAGAGCCCTGGCAGCCAAGTCTCAATAAAACACTGTGTTTCCAGGTGCTGGGGCCAGTCTTGAGGCCCCTGGTCACTGGAGTTCACAGGGACTTTCCTACTACCTCTCCACCTTGGTGGCGAGCAGCTCCTCCCTGCTGCAGGCCGAGCGCCCCGTCCCCTTCAGATGCCTGATGCACCCCTGGGCCTGCAGCCAGGCTCCCCAGAGCAGGGCCTGCTGTGCCGCTGGCCAGCCCTCCGGTCCTCCTTGCTCTTCTATGGGAGCCCCCTTCACCCAGCACTGGGACCTGCCACATTCTGACCTAACTCTCGCTGGACCTTTTCTTAGAGGCGCCGTAGAGCGTATGTTTGTTGTCAATATGATTTTATTTACTTTGCAGTGGAATCCATGAGAGCCAGAAGCACAGTGGGGGCCGTGGCCCCTGGGGTCTGGGTGGCCAGTCCCGAGCCTGGGGCATGGCCTGACCAGTGGGCGATTGTATTTAAAAAAGAAAACAAAATGAAATACACAGAACGAATGCTAACCACGGACATCAGTAATCTCTTGGTAATGGTGGGAATTTCATTAAACTTTCCCTTAAACAACAGAAACCCTGGCCTCTGACTAACACAAGGTGCTGGAGAGAAGATGACCAAGTGACTTGATCTCTGAACTTGAAATGTACTTTCCTACCTAGAAATTCAGCACAATGTGTTTAACGGCCAGACGCCTGCAGGCTGTTTGCATGCCCGCCCTGCCCCCAAGAGGCCCAGGGACACCCCTCTCCAGTCTCTACAGCCTGACCCAGGAGGCCACAGCCCCCTGCTTGAGTGGGTTTCACAGCTGTGGGGGTCCGAGGCCTGGACCTCATCCCTGATGCAGAGCTGGGCACATGGCACACAGACACATCTCTCGGGGTCACCAAGGTCATGGCTTATGGTTGGTTATCCTCATGGCAGGAGTGGGGTGGCATGGGGTGAATTTCACAGAAAAGGCACAGAGAGGTCCCCCTTAGTCGGGGACATGCAGCAAAGTGGACGTGTACAAGGGAGCGGGTTTGCTGACTCTCAAAGCAGGGCGAGCTCTCGGGTTGGGAGCATGCTGCCTTTCCGCCAAGGCTGCAAGGCCAAGGTCAGTGGTCTCTTCCCTGAGTGGCAGGTGAAGCCCCCGGGGCTGGTAAAGCATCTTCATGACAGCTTCACCTGGAGAGTCCCCACGGCAGTCCTGTGAGGTGGGCTGGGAGGGCAGCGCCGTTCATTCTACAGATGAGGGAACTGAGGCTCAGAGTGCAGGAAGGTCACGCACCTGGGAAGGGTCAGAGGCAGGACAAGAACCAGGTTCCTGACCCCTAGGTAAGCGTCTTCCTTCCACGCAGCACTGCGCAACCTCTGTAGGGGAGCCCTGTTCTTAGGCTTCACAACTTTGGGGGCAGTTCCCTCTGAGCCAAGGACGGGCGGGAGAGAATGCTTTCACTTCGAGGGATGGCCTTGCAGCCTGGCTTAGAAACCCAGGGCTAATCAGATCCTGGGCCATCTGGTTCCCCAGGGTCTCCAGAGGAAGCGCCTGGCCTCAGGCCAGACCCGCAGGCTCCTTCCCTTTGCTATGGGTTTGTGGCACAGCTTGCAGGCCGGTCTAGGGCTGCACCTCTGCACGTGTGTGGGGTTTCCCAGGGAAACTCCTCCTCCTTCCTCTGAGGCGGGGCGGCCTCTGGGGGCCTCTGCTGGGCAAACAAACTGTAAGAGGCTTCCTTCTCTCGCCGGGTGAACCCAGGCGCTCCTGCCACCCTCCAGCCTCCCTGCATGGCGGAGGGGAGGCCAAACAGAGGATGGAAGCTTCCGCAGGTGCAGGGCACAGCCATGAGCAGATTCCCACCACCCTGGGGGCTGCCCTCCTCCCAGCTATTTCTACCGAACAAGAAGCAGACAAGAGAGCTCAGAGGGACCTCACAAAAAACCGAGGGGAGAGCCACAGAGGTCCCCCACTGTGGTCCACAGATTTTGCCCCATTTCCTACCCATCAAAGGTCAGAGCTGGGTGACCTTTGCCAGCCACTGCCCTCATTTCAGGACCAGCATCTTCATCCTGTCCAGCTGTCTGCCCCCAGCAGGATTTTACAGAAAACTCAAAGGTCCTGGATTCAAAACTCTCTGTCCTGCCTGACACTCAGCCGATCAGGACAACACAGCGCTGCCTGCTGATGGCATCCAGACCAAGGCCGCCAATGGAACTGCCCTCTGGACTGCAGACCCTCCTCCTCTGCAGAGATGGGCTGGGGACCCCTCCCAGCCTGCCTATCCCCACCCCTCTAATTGGCTCAAGAACTCCAATTCCCTTGACTTGTGTGTTCCAAGTCTCCCCTGCTGGGACTTAAGTCAGAACCTTCTGGAATAGCACACTGTTCCCCTCTGTACTTAACCAGACCCTGACCCCACTATATGCCCACCTTCCCCACACCCAGCTTCATCCTGCCATCATCCACCTTCCCTGAGAGGGTGAAGCCCCACTGGGCTTGTGAGTCCCTGCCCCACTGCCCTCACTGTGCCAGCACATGCGCATCAAAGGTGCCCTCTCTTCCCAGAGGCCCCGACGACATCATGTAACGTCAGCACAGACACTAGCGGTGGGGAAACTTTTAAGTATGCATGCACACGCACCCCAGCCAATAACATTAAGTGTCATTTTAAAAAAATGGGTTAAATAAGCAGTATCGCCGAGGATGGCCGTGCTGGGCTGATTATCCTGTATTTGCACGTTCTGGCGGTGGGAAGGCTAAAAGTCTAATGACTGAATTATCACCCTAATGCCTTTTGCTGGCTGGGAATAATCCTGAGGCAACAGCTGCCGCAGGGTTTTTGGCTGGTTTCCTCTAATTGCATCCAGATTAAGGGAGCCGTGCAGGGGCGGGCCTTCTCCATCCCTCCGGAGCAGCGGGACCTCGCAGAGCCCACACACCCAGGTCTTCAGCTTTCGAGGTCCTGGCTGCTCCAGGAGGCCCAGATCTCACTGGGACCTCACCCAGCCCATAGGGTGAGAGGTGGGAGGGTCCTGGGGAGCCGTGGGGGTGAGGGGCTGTGGGAGCTGGGAGCTTCAGAATGAGCACTTTCCACCCAGGACCCTCCAAAGTGAGGGAGCCTGGGACCCCTCTCCTTCCACCCTGCACACAGCAACCCAAAGGCACAAGGTATAGTAAAATGCACGGACGTTCTTCTGCTACGGAGGATGAGGGGGGAGCACTCTTTCTCCTCTTAGGCATCTCCTGCCCCTTCAGGGGAAGTCACGCCCCTGGTAGAAGGTGAGCTCCAAAACAGTGTTATCTGGACCAGGACTTTGTTGTGGTGCTGGTAGACTCTTCCAGCCCCGTACCAGCCGCCCAGTTCCTCACCCCTCCCTGAATCCCAGTCCCTCGCCATGTCACTTCTCTTACTGCAGGGGAGGGTCCATTTCCCCATCCCTAGATGCTGAGTCTGGCCATGTGACTTGCTTTGGCCACTGGGGTGGCAGCACGGGGGGCATCTGTCAAGGCTTGGGAAGGTGCCTGTACACTTCTGATTCTGCACCTTCGCCTTGGCCAGGACTGGCTTGCAGGAAGGATGCAAGAAGCACAGAGCAGAGCCAAGTCTGACCTCTACACACCTCGACATGTGTGAGCACCCCCCTGGGACTTAACAGCTCCAGGCATGGGAGCAAGCCCAACCCTGACCAGAAATGCCCAGCTTGAGCTGCTGCCCCACAGACTCATGTGCTAGGTAAGTGTGTGCTAGTTGAGGCCACCATGTTTGGGGGCTATTGTTATGTAGCATTACTGTGGCAATGGATAACTGTTACGCCTGTTCATGGGGATGTGGTCTCTAGAGGAGGGTCAACATAGTGCCTGGGTAACTCAAGCCATTTCCATAATGGATCAGGAGCCATCCTCCAGATGGAAAGGCAATCTTCTTTCCCCAGAAACAGAGCACAAGTCTACCCCCATCCAGCCTGGATCCTGCTGCTGGACTATAATGGTCAGTACCCTAAGATCTGGGCACTGATGGGGCTCCAGGATGGTCTCTCTGAAAGGCTCTTGGACAGAGGGGCCAGGAACTTGGAAGTACCAGTGTCAGTCTCCTGCCTGCTGGAGGACTTGGGCTCATGGAGAAGAGAGAAGCTGAGAAGGGAGGAGGCTGATAACTTCCTCTTTCCTGTTGATAAACATCTTTTTAAAGTGGCGCCATCCAGCAGCGTCAACTCTCAGTGAGAAAAGCTGAGGGCAGGAAGAAGCCTTAGTCGGGCTGTGTCTCCACAATGACTCTCAGCACGTCAGGAATTTTTCTCCCCAGAAGAATGTGCAGGAGGATTCAAGGAACGATTCCAGCCTCCTTGCTCCTGCCAGTTCAAGAGGTGGCTTCCTGTGCCAATGGCTCCACCGCTTTACACTGGCTGGGAGCCCTCCCATGCCCTTATCTGTCCTTCTCTAAATCCCAGAAGGAGCAACTGACGAGAATCTGTGGGAGCAGGGAGAGCTGGCTGGGAAGACCTGGTTCCCACGCAGAAAGCAGAGCTGCCCTGAGTGACGGCTACTGTACTGTGGCCACTCTTGCGTCCAACCACCTGAGGAGCTGACTTACAGAAGACTGGCATTCATGGCAGAATGCAGGCCCTGCAGGGAAGTGGGAGTCTTTCTAGCACTTTCAGGTGCCTTTGTCTTGGTTGGTCAGTTAATATAGTACCCCTTCCCTCAAACATTGCAGATTCCCTTCAGAGGATTTTGCGTGCACACACACACACCTCAACCCATCCAGACCCCAGTTGGTTGCAGTATTTGGTGAGGTTGGCCTTAAACAATGCCAAATGCAGACATTCCCCAACAAAGGGAGAGAAATCCAACATTTCAACAGCCTGTGCTCAGGCAGCAGATTCCTTCACATACCAAGAGGACAGGCTGTTGAAATGGACAGTGTGAAAGCCCCCAGTCCGCTGCTCTTACACCTCTTTACCCTGAAATCAGTGGGGCTTTTTTTGGCGGGGGAATGGGGGGCAGATGTCTTCATATCAGCTTTGCAGCTGTGGCTGGAGAAGCTGTGGAGTATGTTTGGTTCTTTCAGAGAATGAAGCCTGATGAGGCGGGTGTGTCCGGCTTGCAAAGATGTCTCTGGGCCTGGACAGGACCCCCTTGTTCTGCACTCCCCGGCACTGGTGGGTGCACAAGACCTCTCCTTCTGTCTCTGCCTTTCCCAATGCCTGGCAATACCCTTCGGTGGCTGATGAAGCTGGAGGAATTCCTGGGACGTGTGGAGATCCATCAAAGGCAGGCAACACGAGAACCCAGCCAGCCTGCGTGTCCAGGTGGGATGGCCGTGCATTTTGGTCCCGCTTTTTTGGGAGGTGACTTTTCTCTGGGCAGCTGGCGGGTTCCACTTCTGTCACTTCTGGACTCCACTTTTGTCCTTAATATGAAAAGTTTCCCTTCATGCCGCCCAAGGGCATTTTCCTTCCGTTTCTACCATCCCATCCCCTCCAAGCCCAGCCCCACCCCCTCCCCCATGCTTGGGACCTGGCTGAGGTTCCCTCACCCCTCGTCTGGCACAGGGAGCCCAACCTATCTGCGGAAACCGAAGCCTTCCCGGGGCGTCTTTGGGCCCTTCCTGCCTTCTCTGGGGGGCTTGGGCGAAGGCGTCTCCACAGTGCCCCCGTATGGGCAGCTCTCAGACCCCGGGTGCTGGCCTGTGCACTCCACGGCGGGCATGTAACCACTGTCCCACATGCCAGTCCCACACAGCTTGCACAGGTCATGCAGGCTGCAGGGGATCCGCGGCAGGAGGCGAAACTGATAGAGCAAACTCCTTGCCTGCGAACAGAGAGGACAGGCAGTGACGAGGGCGTTGGGGGACAGCCAGTGGCCCGAGAGCAGGGGCAGCAATACCCAGCACCCAAGGGCTCACCCTGTGCCAGGTCAGGGCGAGGGCTCTGCCTGCCCCGCCCCTTTCAACACCGTGATCCAGCTGAGGGACGGGACTCACATGGTACCCGGAGCAGTGCTCCCATGTGGCTTGACACAAAGAAGGCTCCCCCGACGGCCTTCATATGGAGGGTGAACGGGGCAGGCAAAAGCGGCACAGGGCCCACCCTGTCCCTCCCTGGCTCGGCCTGGCCCCACGGCTCCACCTCTCCGCCCTGCAGGGTCTGTTTCCACCACCCTCTTCCTACCCACCCCACCCTGACCCCAGGCCCTCCTCACTGCCCCCGGGAGACACCAGAGAGCTTTAAGAAGCAGACTCCAGCAGGAGCCTGGGAAGTGGGGAGGTGGCAAAGGCGCCCTTTATTCCACTAACTTTGGATGAAAAGTGTCCACCTCCCCTCCCTCAGCCTCCTGCTCAGTTTTCCTGGCTCTGGACTAGGACTGAGGTACTGCAGGTAGAGGACCTGTCCATCAAACCAGGTAATCTGTTCAGTCCATGAGGAGAGAGGCCTCTTTGCCAGGGCCTGATGGGCACCCTGAGCAACTGCCAGACATGCTGACCACTGGGCCTTGGTCAGGAGCTCCCAGGGTGGCTGGAGTGTGTGGACGAGGCTCTGGAAGTGAAGGGGCGGGGCTCTGTGTGTGGAGGGCGGGGCTTGTGGGGGCTGCGTGGGGGTGGAGCTCTGGAAGTGAAGGAGTGGGGCTCTGTATATGGGAGGGCGGGCCTGCATGTGGGGGCCACACTCACCTTCCTGAGAACAAGCTCCCCATTCATGTGCATGGCCAGGTTTCCAAAGTGCAGAAGCATCTGGTCGGTGGCCAGCTGCTGCTCAATGACGTCATCCCCGTAGATGGCCACGATGGCCACACAGATGAAAAGGTGGAAGTAATCCGTCTGGGGGGATAGAGAGTGGGTTCAGATAAGGCCCCTGACCCAGCCCCAGGCCCTGCCTGCAGGTAGAGGCCAAGTGCAGAGGTGCGGGGTAAGGGCTCGGGGTGAGGTCGTCTGGGTTCATGTGGCCCTGGGCAAGCCCAGCAGCCTCCTTCATCCTCAGTTTCCCCACCTGCAAATGGGCCAGTGTGAGCACCTCCATCCAAAGGCTGCTGTGACATACAAAGGGGCGATGTTGGAGCTGGCTACCCACGGGCTGCTGTTACCCTCCGGGGAGCCCTCTGGGAGGCTTTCCAGCACAGGGCAAAGAACATGCTCCTCTGAAGGCTGGCCCGTGCCCATTCTCTTGAGAGACAGTGCGTCAGAACACGCTCCAGTGGGTCACAGAACACACCACTGAGAAAGAACTTTCTGGCAGCCACCCACTGGTCGCTGTCCTCCTGCCTCCAGGCCAAACGTCCCAACTCATGCCCCAGAGACGACTCTTAGGTTTGTTGATAAGAAAGTGGGGAGAAGAGCCTCAGAGCAGAGCACGGCAGATCACGATGGTCCCCATGGAGCTCCCCAATGAGCCCACCATCTTTAACCAGCTTTACAGAGCCCATTGAGGACTCCGCTGTCTTCCTTGGAGGCTGCCTCATATGGCTGCCCAGCAAAGAAGGCCTGGCCCACAGCAGGAAGCCGGCACTTGGTCCTGGCTGGGGTACATCCTGTGCGCTCTCCGGCCCGGACACTGTGAGGGCACACCGCCTTTGAGTCACACTTGCTCTCGGGGGCAGAGGAAGGACAAGGACCACCAGGAAGCCTGTGTTTAGTCTCCTGACATCGGCCACCCAGCCAGACAGAACTTTGTTCCTTTGCAAACAGGGCCAGGAGGAGACCTGGATGCGGGCAGAAGTTATGGGCAGCAAACATCCCACACCCCACCCACTCTTTAGAGACCATTCTGGGTTGCCCAGCCCCTTCCTCTGAATTAATCCAGAATGGCCTTGATGTGGCTCAGAACGATCCTTCTGCAGCTATTCGAACTGTGGCCAGGGTTGGCAGAGGGCTGGGGGGAGGGGGGAGGACAGAGGAAGGTGCATGTCTACCTCCTCTCAGAGAGGACTCGGGGGCAGAAAAGGTGGGGCACATTCTAAATGGGGCTGGATGGCAGTACAGGACTAATCCCAGTTCACTGGACAAGGCCCAGGGCAGCGCAGCCCCTGAGGGCAAACTGGAAGTATCATGAATGAAATAGAGTCTTTCTCACTCTGGGGACACTTTAAAAGTTAAAGCACCTGGTGGTGACCACCCCCCTCTCCACGAGCTCACTCTAATGAATTAGCCTACGCCCACTGCAATCATCCTACCCCCCGCTTCCAATCTCCTGCCACTAATTTGATCAAGTGGTGGGGCCAGATGTGGCTAAATTTAGCCTGAGAAATGGCCCCATTTGTTGGGTAACGCTCTGAGTTCACTTGTAACATTAGCCTAAATGTGATGTCACGAGGGTGGCAAACCTGCTGCTGGAAAAACATGCAATGAGGCTTTGCAAAGTGGACACAATTTTTTTTTTTAAATGTGATCCAGCGTTTTGGACCATCCTTGCCAATGCTTCCTTGATTCCAGCCTGCAGTACACGTCGAGCACGCTAACCCACGCAGGAATCGCGGCCCAGACCTGGGCCGGGCTGGGGGCAGGAGCAGGAGGCGGGCGAGGATGGATGAACACAAAGACAGCCTGTGGCACCAGCACCCCATTTGTTCACACTCACTTCTATCAGACGTAACCCTTCTTTGACGTTAGTAAGGAGGGGAAACGCTGATGCACACTTCCGAGGGCTGGTGGGCGTGCCCACGCAACAGCGAGGTTTGTCTCATCCAAGCTGCTCCGGCTGCCGCAGGGAGGATGGAGCCCACTCTTGCAGAAAGGGTCCTGGCCACCTCCCGGATGCGTCAATACTATTTTTTTTTAAGGCTGATGGATTCAGAGAGACTTGCCTATCCTTTCACGTCGCCAGCTTGTTGCTAATTTGGGCATTAAAGCTGTGTGACAGGGCCAGCTCGACGCTCTCAGGGGAATTTGTTGAGGAGACAATGATAACAGTGGATGGCAAGTGGAAATCACATCTCTGGGTGGGGACAGTGGGCCAGGCCCGGGCTCTCAGAGGGGCTGATGGGGAAGCAAGATCTCGGGCCCTTTCCCTGAGCCGTCCCGAGGGGGCAGGCGGGCGGGCACTGGCTCCAGCTTGTGGGCACTGGCGTCCTGCTCGGCCCCGCAATGTCTTTCACGCTGATTGGTTGTGACAGGAGCGTGCTCAGCCCCAGAACGTGGTAATGAGTGCAGTCAGTGGGCAATTTGCATCGATTTCAGTTACTTGGGAGGCGAATTGCAGGTCTGAGGCTGGCCGCGTGGGACTGGAAGGCAGTCGCCATGTGAGGGGCGGACTGTGGCTTGCAGGGGGTCAGGGATGGTGGAGGGGGACCCCAGAGGAGGCGCACGGTTACGTGGGCACCCCACCCTCCTTTTAGGCTGGGTGCAGGATGGCTGTCCCAGCCCCCAGCCCTGGGCACCGCGCCTGACTCACCTGGTAGTGGGCCCAGCAGGCCTCCCAGATCCGCAGAGCCTCAGCCTCGGGAAACTCCCGCTTGAAGCACAGCAGCAGCCAGCGGTGGCAGAAGAGCATCTGCAGGCCATCCTCGCCCAGTGAGACCAGGTGCTGGTAGAAGCGCAGGTGCGTCAGCCGCAGCAGCTCCCGCAGGTACAGCTGGGGGCGAGGCCGAGATGAGTTAGCCCCCCAGCCCCGAGCACACCTGCCTGCCTGGCCCAGGAAGCCCACTCCCACCGAGGCCCTTCCTCGGTCCACCCCTCCCGCCCACCAAAGCCTGTGTGCCATGCGTGAGGTCTCTACCTGCTACATGTCACTGCACCCACTTGTTTTGTTCTGTCGCTGGAAGTCTGACTCACACCTGTCTTTGTCATTTTAGCCCAGATTTCATACTGTTTTGGAGGCTGTGGCGTGGCCCAGGGCAAGGCAGAGCACAGCACCCTGATGTGGACCAGGAGAATAGTGGCAGGAAGACCCCCAGGCCTCAGGCGCCATATGGGGCTGTTTCTGACGCCCCCTCCCTTCTGGGATGTCGAGCAGATCATCCATTGACAACGCCACCTCCCCCACACCCACTCAACCACCTTCCCCTCTGATCACCAAGATCCATCATCTTCCAGAGCTGATTTAGAGCAGAGAGGGGGCGTTTCTGAACCCCAAGAGGCTCAATTCCTGCACTTAAGGTCACCACCCAGTGACTTGGGATAAGATGGAGGCTATTTCTGGCAACGTCCTGCTCTGGCTGCTGACTTCACCAGCACCGTTGTAAAATCAATCTCCGGCAGCTAACGAGTCACGGGGCCTTGTGCTTCGGAGCCCATCGGGGCGAATGGCATCAGAGCCCGTAATTGCCTCCACAGGTACCGTGGAAACCTGACATCACAGGGCCGATGCAGAGAGCACAGAGTGGGCAGGCTCGGCTGAGATCCCAGCCAGATCCTGGGGTGAGGGCTTGGTGACTCACAGGCCCCTTCCCACACAAGCGACCCATTGTTCCTACTTGAGACAGCCGCTGGGATGGCACGGGAACTGATTCTGAGGATCCTTCCCGACTGGCCAGTCTTTCCACCCAGTGGCCCACAGCAGGGTCAAGTCCAGGCACGCAGCTGAGCCCCTCCCTCCCTCACGGGTGCCCCCCACCCCCGCTCTGGTGCCCGGCACCTTCCAATCCCCACCTGCCTGCTCCTGGCTCCCCCTCGTCCAATCCCCTGCTGTGTTCTGCTCTACCATCCATAGTCTTCAACGGCTTCCTAATGGCAAGTCGACGGGACATGCTCCTTGGCCTGGCATTTGAGGCCCTCCATTCAGCTCGACCCCCATTGCATGTGGGCCACCAACCTGACCAGGGCACCCAGTGTCATTGCCCAGAGAGCTCTGCTCAGCCAAGTCTCGGCAGGCCTGACAGTGTCCAGGGCCAGACCCCATGTGCCATTGGGTCGGCCTAGTCCAAAGAGACACTGGGACGCCTGTCTTGGTTCCCACCTCTATCACCAGAGCTCTTTCTGTATCACTCCCTGGCACCCAGCATCCTCTCCTCACACTGTCAGCTTCCAGACCAAGAATCTCTTGCAGACTGGGGACCTGAGACCATCTCCCAGTGCCAGCAGCACCCGGCAGGAGCTTGGAGTGCACAGGTGCTACGTAAGGAAAGAGTGCACACTCCTGGCCCTGCCTTACCCAGCTCTGCCTCCTTGCTCCCAAGTCTCAGTGCTGCCTGGTCTGTGTAGGTTAGGGGAGGCCATGAAGGGAGGGGTGCCGGCTGCGCACAGCAAGCCTGCTGCCCTGGAGGTACGGTTGTGACAACTACCCAGCGGGCCTCGAGGTGGTTTCAGGAGCCCCTCCCATCCCCACCCCCAGAACCCTGGCTATGTTGGACCCCTGCAAGGGGCCCAGATGCACCTGAGGAACCATTTTACACAGCACAGGGTCAGGTGTGATAGGGACCCCCCCCCTTCTTTGTCTCCCAGGGAGCCTGGGTTGGGATGCCACATGCAGGGAGGTGGGAAGCCACAAGGGGAAGGCCCTGCACAGTCTAGACTCTGGACCTGCAGGAGTGTGAGGTGGGGATGGCAACATGTGTCCTGGGACCTGGGAACAGCATGCGTCCCTCCTGGGGGAGCTGGCCCTACCCCAGAGGCCCAGGGCTAAGCCCCCCACAGTCCATTGGTAAGGCTGTCCCTGGCCTTTCTGCTGCTTGCTGACCCACAGCAGCCAAGCCATACACAACTGAGAGCCTCACCAGCTGTTTCTCCATGTCCTCATCCCGAGGAGAGCTGACAAAGATCGTGTTCTGCATCAAACCCACAAAGCACCAGAAGGTGTCTGACTCGTCCAGGACCTCGGCCAGGATGGGTGCCACCAGGTCCGACATGCCCTGGGAGTAGCCGATGGCTGGGTTGTACACCGCATAGTTCAGCAGGATCCTCCTGGAGACGCAGTGCAGAGAGCAGGGAGGTCAGTGGAGGACGGCCACAACACAGCAGTGTGTTGTCGGGCAGGCCAGTAGAACCCCAGGCTGGAGACCCTGGGCTGTCCGGGCCCCCATCTTTCGCCTTGATCTCAGAGGAAGGAGGGCAGCTCTGGGACCATCTCCAGAGCCTGGGGAAAGGTAATGGCCTGCAATTAGGCACTCACCAGCCCAGCCCCTCGAGAGCAGGGCAAGGAGGAATGTGGGTCTGATTTTCTTAATTGTCAACTGCCTGTGACAAAGGGTGGGCTGGCCAGGAACGTTTTCATGGGCTGCTAATTTTGTGCAATTATTTGCCAGGAGGTAGCAGCACGTCAAAGATGCCCGCCTCAGCCCCGTGTGGCTTTATCATCCAGAAGACCACCCAATGGGAGACAGAGACACTCAGGGGGAGGCTGGCCCACAGCTGGTGTGAGACAAGCAAGGTTAGGCTTAGTGGATGCCCAGCGGGTGGGGCCTACAGGCCTTCCCTGGGCCTCTAGGACAATAAGAGACCCACTGACATTGCCTAAAATAGCTAACAACCCTCTGATTCTGGGGCACTGAACCTGGAGGAAAGACCCCTGACCCCTGCAGAAGCTGCTGCTCTTCCACTTCCCAGAGGGTCAACTGAGGCCTGAGGGGTGAGGTGGCAGATGGAGTGAAACGGAGGGGGCAGGAAACATGCCGGCCCGGAAGGTGGTACCTCATGCTCTCCACATTGGGATTGCCTTCTCCTCGGAAGAACTGGTTGCTTCGATCTGTCCGTACCACATCCTTGTCCACGGTGAACTGCACGTTCCGCCAGAACGCTCTGTGCTCTTCAGGGGTCATGGAGAGCCTGGCATGGAGCAGAGCGCCCGCTGGGGGGTCAGCAAGCGGCACATACGCTCCCGGCTGGAGCGGGCGTCCCGCCCAACCCCGCCCAACCCTGCTCCCAGATGGGAACTGGGGCCGCTGGCAAGCCCTCCGGCTCCCACTGACCTGGGGTGGGGGGGAGTGCACAAGGCTTTCCAAACATTAACTCGGCCTCACGGGTCCCAAACAGAGAGCTGACCGTAGCCCCGGGATCAGCGAGGCCCAAACGGACCTCAGCAGTCCCAGTGCCCCCCAAACACCCCCGCCACCCCGGTGTTCTGCGGAAGGATGTCAGTGCCTCGTTAAGTACGCTGAAAAAGTATTCTAAAATCTTGACATGCGAGCTAAAGAGAGCCAGTCCCAGGGCCCGCCGCTGGGGTAATAACTGCACTTATCCAGCCCCATCGCTCACGGTCCTGGGAGACCCATTTTTCAAGGAAACTATGGGTCACGGAACATATTATCAATGCTGAATTGCACCTCAAATTGCCTTTCCAAATGGCATTTCCCTCCGCGGCGCTGGGGTGGGTTTCCCTCCGCGGCGCTGGGGTGGGTTTCGTTTCCCTCCGCGGTTCGAGGGGGCCCCGGCCGGTCGTCGCGGTCACCTTTTCTGCTGGATCTCGGCGTATTCCTTTCTCTTCTGCATCCGCAGCGCCTCCCTTTCCTCCGACGTCGACTCGTGGCTGTAATAACGCAGCAGGAAGGGCCAGACCTCCCCCCGGATTGACACATCAATGCCGCCGAAGAAAATGGCCTGGAGGAAGCGGCAAAAGTTGGGGAGGGGCCAAAGCAGGGCCGCTCAAAGGACCCCCAAATCCCCGGAGATCTGTGTTTTGGTGGCTTTGCTGCGCCTTCTTGACAACTGATGCCTTGATTCAGATCGCTGCAATTTGCACATGTTTGGAAGGGGAAAGTGCCGGCCCCCCATTCCCATACAGGACACAAACCAGGCTCATTTCAATGTCAATGCCCCCCCTGGTGCGGCACTCAGATTAACCTGTCGTTCTCACGTCAGGGCCTAATCCCGGTTTTGGAATCGCGGCGCGGGCTGCGAGCTCTGCTATACAGGCTGACGCGGGGTCCTCCAAACCCGCTCCGGAGGTTGCTTTTTCATCGCAGCGGCTTTGATTGCTCTATCGGGCGCGTTCACACAGCCAGCTCTGGCACCAGCGGACGCACCCCCCGGAGGCGGCCCGTGGGCATGGCCCCAACCCCTGGTCCTGAATCGGGCCCCGCGGGCACACCGGGCCTCACCTTGCGGAGCTTGTACTCCTCCTCCACCTGGCCCAGCGCGTTCAGGTGGCGGAGCCAGGCCGCGACGTCCAACCGTCGGTACATGCTCTCCTCGGGGTGCGTCTCGGAAGACGGCAGTTTGGGACGCCGAATGGAGAACTGCATGCACGTCTTTTCGTCGGCGACCTGCTGGACGGGAGGACAGTTGGGGATCAGTGTCTCAGCCGCTTCGCTTTCGAAGCCAGCCGCGCTCTTCGCGGGATGTAAGCCTTCCTCTCTCTCTTCCGAAAGGAGGAGGACGCCTCTTCCCTGCATACAAACCCCTAAATGGCAAGTGTAATTAGACACAATTCAAATGAAAATACCGTCCTCTTACCATGGTCCCCCCTCGCGCTCCCGGCTCCCGGCCCACTCCCATCGACCGCCGTCCCCCACTCTCCCTCCAGCCCCGCCGCAAAGACGGAGTTAATGCCTCGGACGGCCAACTTCCCTCTGCCGGGAGGGCCTGCAATAAATTACATGTGATTGGCCACATACAAAGGGATGGCTGTTCTGCGAGCGGGGAGCCCGCCTGTCAGGTTGTCTCCACGGGCAGTCACGGATCCAGGGCAAAACTGCAGCTGACATTTAATTCAAAAATCAAAGGTTGTTCAATGTAGGGGGAAAAAAAAGCCATGCTACTGTAATAAGGGAAGCCAGCAGGAGGCTCTGTGGGAAGGAAGGGAATTTTAAAGTCAGCCCGTTTCTAATAAGCACATACAGTATCTTAACCAGATAATTAAAGAGCTCTTATTACATTTGTATGTAGATTGAGCAAAATATGGCAGGAAGCCTTGTCAAAACATGATTTTTCAAGTGCGGAGTACTGCCTTTACAAGAAGCCTGGGCACATGTTTCAAATCCCAAATTGCTGCTCTGTAGGCCCCCAGCGACCACGGGTCACACCGGAGAAGCCTGGGTCTCCGGGGGAGAGAACCAATGTCCTGGGCCCCCGTTGGAGGGGAGGGGGGAATGGGAGGGGGGGTGTCTCAGCAGCCAGGTGCCTCCAGGGGTGGTGCAGGGCCTTCCTGGGGGCAGTCCCCAACCCTCCGGGCTACCTGGTCTTTGAGGTGCGTCTCTGCGCAGTATTTCCATTGCTGAAGCACGTCGGGCAGCTTGTCCAGGCCACCGTGGTGGAAGTGGAACACCTTGTACTGGCTTTCCCGGCTGGCGACGACCAGCTGGCCGCTGGTGCAGGCCTCATCGCTGAGTGGCCATCGGAGGGTGGAAGAGAACAGACCCATGAATATGTAAACATGGGTTTTTATTTCCAAGTATAATCAGAGGCCCCTATTGCCAACCTCAGAGGCAGGAAACAGAAAGTCCCCGTGGAGTTTGGCTGCTGGCGGCAAGGGGACAGAATTACGCCCCAACAGAAGCCATCACCCCTTTGCTGAAGAAGGCAAAGCAGCTCCCTTCCTGGGAGACTCCAGGTTGTATTGTCCTCACTCCCGGGAGACCTGCCAGGGCAGCCTTCTGTCCCCACCCTTGCCTGCCAGGTCATATCCTCCCTTCTCTCTGGGGGTCCTGGGGGTGGATGCCCTGACGGGGAATCAGGTTTTGAACCCAGATGGGGCGGGCGCTAAGGGATGCCCCTCCAGCAGCCTTCCCCATCCGGCATGGAAGGCACTCTGGGAGAATCCTCCGGGGAAATTCACAACACATGCCTCAGGGCCATCGCCCAAACTTGGCTTCCCTTCCATGAAAGGTGGGATGTGGCTCTGGGTCTGGGAACTCCCACAGAGACACGCCTGCTTCTTCTAAGCACCAGTCTTGGTTGGCGCTTTCCTGCGGCTGGGCCACCCTGCCTTTCAGGAAGAGAGACATGAGGTGGCCGTTAGGCAGGGAACTAAAAGGGATGGCTCCCCATAATGAAGGAAAGGGTGCCTCCCTCTAGAAAGCCATGGCCTATTCTGAGCATGCTGGGCCTCTGGGTGGGTGACCGGGGGCAGCCTGCAGCAACTGCTCTCTGTGTAGCCCTGGTTCGTTGTCTTTCCCCAAACCAGAGCTCCAAGCAACAGCTGCTTACCATCACCCTGAAAGCAGAGGAAAGAGTTTGGGAGCTACCCAGACCCAGCTCCTGTGGGGCAGCCGTAGGGGGCAATGCTGACAAGACTAGTGATGTTGGGACACAGATGTTTGGGGATGCAGGGGTGCTGGACCCAAGCACGGCCCCCCGGGACACGGCACACAGGCAGCTTCCAGGACATGGCCAAGAGGGCCTCACCTGAAGAAGAGGCGGAGGGAGCGCATGTGACCCAAGTCCACTCGGAACACACCGCAGATCTGCTCCAAGGCGCAGGCCCGCTGCGGCTCGTCCCAGCGCGGGGGCTGCAGGAGGCCACTGCTGTCCGGGAACTGCAGGTGGGCGTCCACGCTGGAGGGGGAGCTGGTGGAGCAAGTCATGTGAGGGCCACACGTTTCTCTGTTGTGCAGCCATGGGGGAAGGGCAGGGAGGGCTGGGGAAACCATTTAAACGTGCGTGCACACTCAGAGATATAGCTGAACACGCTGGGCACATAGAGGCTGTCCACGGACACCCATGAATGAACGAACGAATGAATCCTATCATAGGTCTTGCCCAATTACACTTTAATGTGGATGGGAAAGCATTTTTGTGATCAAATTTTGTTCCACCTCAACAGAGATATTAGGTTGTCATAATGGCAGATGAGGTCCTACTGACTGGGTTTGAGCCCTTGCTATGGGACCTTGGGCAAGTTACCAAGCCTCTCTGAGCCTTTGTTTCCTCTTTTGCACAGCGAAGATAATAACATGGCTTCGTGTAGAATGAACAGTGCTCAGTGCTGGGCACCCTGGTTTTCAGGGCTTACTGAAAGAAGCTGTTTTGTGACCATTTTAGACAGCGTGGGGCTTCCTTTTGGGTTCAAATTGGTTCAGTATTTTCCTGAAAAAATAGTGGTTCCATAAGGAAACGTTTGGGTTATAATACTGTTAATACTAATAGTAAACACTTAGCTCTGTGTTAACCACTTTTCATGTGCTTTTTATCACATATAAGCTTCACAATAAATCCTAGGAAATGGGTGGTTATTACCACCATTGTACAAAACAGGAATTGAGGCTCAGAAAGGTTAAGTAACTTGTCTAAGGTCACACAGCTAGCAGGTGGTAGAGCTGGAATTTGAACCCAAGCTTTGTGGCCCACGCCTTCACCAGTGTATTTAACTGCTTCTAAGTTCAAAGTTCAGCAATACAACCCCATTATCTTATTCTGCTTCTTTAAAAAATTAATAATTTTGTTTGGCTCCTCGGTTGCCAAATAGTTTATTGCATGGATTCAGCTACACCACAGGTTAAATGCCATCTCTTGAGATTTAATAGTAACATCTAGGGCTTCCCTGGTGGCACAGTGGTAGAGAGTCCGCCTGCCGATGCAGGGTACACGGGTTCGTACCCCGGTCTGGGAAGATCCCACATGCCGCGGAGCGGCTAGGCCCGTGAGCCATGGCTGCTGAGCCTGCGCGTCCAGAGCCTGTGCTCCGCAACGGGAGAGGCCACAACAGTGAGAGGCCCGCGTACAGCAAAAAAAAAAAAAAAAAAAAAATAGTAACATCTAGCAGATGACTGCTAAAATATCGCCAGAGTAAAGGCAAGCATCAGTTCTGGATCCCAACCCCAATATCCCACAGAGGTAAGACTGCAATCACTTTATCCCACTTTCCTGTTTCAGCCGAGAACATAAAAGTGTCGGAGGCAATGAATCCTGAGGCACCTCTTCCTCTGATGGGCACCAGGTCTCCAAATGAAGCTACTCTGGATTGTTCAAGCACAATCCCTCTAACTCGGAACTTCCTCAAAGAGGAAGACTGGCCTTTGTAGAAACTTAGCTGCTTCTAGAACAATACTGGGCCTGGTGTGCAGTTCTTCCCCACCTGCCTAAGGAAGTGGGCTGAGCCAGGTCCTCCCATTTCTGAGGGGCACCAGTGCTCTCCCAGGAAACAGACTCAGGTAAAGATAGACAGCCGGATGGGAGGGTAGGTAGACAAGCTGAAGCACGCAGCCACACGGCAAACTCGGACCCAAAAAGGCTGAGGGATTCCCTGTCCTCCCGAGGGGAGCCTGAGTGGCTGCACTATGCAATGACTGTCTGCAAAACAAGGCAGCCGCAGGTCTGAAGACAGCCCCCCACCATGCCGCTTCACACAGCATTTCATAATCTGCGTATTGAACAATGAGGCCGCAGTGGCCAGAGAGCATGTGCTTGGCGTGCTTCCCCGGCGGGGCCGGCCCATCCGGGCTCACCTCCAAGCCCAGCCAGAGAGGGCCCACCAAAGGGTAGCATTATTTCCAGCCCCTCTCCCCCAGTTCTCCCCACCGCCAATCCACACGTACATAGCACGATCCTCCAAAACCTGCATGCCCTTCTCAACATGCTACGTCTTGCTCACCCCACAGGGCAGGCCAAGGTTTGCAGAAACCAGATCCAGGATGGACACTTGCTCTCGCAGAGTCCTGGCCGAAGCCACTGCTCCTCTGCTGTGGTGGAAGGACTGGGGTCCTGAGGGGAAGGAGCCCAGGAGAGAGGCCCCCCCAACACCTTCCTGCAGCAACTTGCCCCCAGGCAGAAGTCTGCCTAAACCCTTTTACAACTCCTGAGGGGGAAATTATTTGCATTAATTAATTGATTGATGAATTAATTCAAGACATTATGTTGGGACCTACAGCTGGGGTTCCACGGTTCAAACTGGAGCAAAGTTGATAGGAGACATCGTTCTCTGTTATTTAGGGCCTGTCATAGCAGATGACTGTACAGTCATCTAGGTCACCTAGGGCCACATCTGTTTCTGCCTGAAGACCCATTGCCATGGGGCTGAGGGCTGTATCTCGTTTGCTCTTCTGCATCCCCCGCTCTCAGCACAAGCCTGGCACAGAACACAGAGATTTAACACTCATGCCTGGGATGAAAGTGTTAAATGTCTGGGAATTTTGAAGTCATAGAAAAACATGGAGATAAAATCTTGGGAAAATTGAAATATGTACAATTTTTATTTTTTATCTTTTTACACATGCAGAGCAATTTGGTTTTAAGAATACTCATGTGTGGCATATAATTTGGCTTGTTCGTAAAATTATTGTGTGGTACATTAAAACTATAAGGATGGTTTATCTAAGGCAATAACTCCCAATATGCTATAAGTTAAAAATGTTTTATAGGTAGAGGGAGAAGATGCTAAACTCTAAGAAATATAGCATTGCTTTCTGAAGATCACCAAAATGCAAAACAGAAATGAATAAGAAAAGCCAGCTCTGCCGCAGCAAAACATAGCAAGCGTGTTCTTTGTCAATCTGGCAACTCCTGCAATGTCAGGCACAGAGTTGGAGATTAAATATGGCCCCAAATTCTTAGAGTGGTGTTTGTTTCCCTACCCCTGAATCTGGGCTGGCCTTTCGAGTGGCTTTGGCCAATAGGATGTGGTATGAGTGACATTCTATGAGCTCCAGAGCCTGGCCTCAAGAACCTTCTGTATTCTCACTCTTGGTATACTCCTGCCACCATGTAAGGAAGCCCAGGCACAAGTGATGAGAGACCACAAGGATAGAAAGACTCAGCTGACAGCGTCAGAGTCCCCAAACCTCATGGTAAGAGACCATTTCAGACCCTCCACCCGGCTGAGCTCCCAGCTGCTGACAGCTGCCTGAGGAAGCCCCAGAGCACCCAACAGAACAGGCTGACTTGGCCCAGCCCAACGGGAAGACCTGTGAGCAAACTGAAGATGGTGGTTTTAAGTTCTGGAGTCCTTTGTTACGGGGCTATAGATAACTGATAGATACGAGAAGTGTCTGTTATCAGAAAAAGCTTGAGCAGGAAGGAAGAAACCTCCAAAATTATTATTTTGGGTTTTTTGGGTTTTTTTTGGTCATGACAAGGAGCATGCAGGATCTTAGTTCCCTGACCAGGGATTTAACCTGTGCGCCCTGCAGTGGAAGCGCGGAGTCCTAACCACTGGACTGCCAGGGAATTCCCTTCCTCCAAAATTACTGAATTGTGGTTCTCAAGGTCAAAGAGACATTGCGGCCAGACTCTAACATTTTTAAAAATCCAAACTTCTAAGTTAGCTCTTGCTTTTCTTCCTTCTGAACCTTTTGATTCAGTTGAACAGTAAGTCGATGGAACCCCAGCTGTAGGTCCCAAGTATAGTGTCTTGAATTAATTAGTCAGTCAATTAATTAATGCAAATAATTTCCCCCTCAGGAGTTGTAAAAGGGTTTAAGCAGACTTTTGCCTGGAGGCAGGTTGCTGCAGGAAGGTGTTGGGGGGCCCTCTCTCTGGGGCTCCCTCACCTCAGGGCCCCAGTCCTTCCGCCACAGCAGAGGAGCAGGAGCCTTTACCCTGGACTCTGTCGGAGCAAGCGTCCATCCTGGATCTGGTTTCTGCAAACCTTGGCCTGCCCCGTGGGGCGAGCAGGACACAGTGTGTTGGGAAGGGTGTGCAGGTTTCGGAAATTGTGCTGTGTGCATGTGGAGTGGCAGTGGGGAGGACTCTGGGGGAGGAAGCCTGGAAATAATGCCACCCTTTGGTGGCCCCTCATAATTGCCAGAACTTGGAAGCAACCAAGATGTCCTTTGGTAGGTAAATGGATAAACAAACTTCAGTACATCCAGACAATGGAATATCATTCAGCGATAAAAAGCAATGAGCTATCAAGCCATTATGTCCATATGCATTACTAAGTGAAAGAAGCCAATCTGAAAAGGCAGAGTTGGAAACTTACTATATGGTTCCAAGTCTATGACATTCTGGAAAAGGCAAAACTATGTAGATAGTAAAAGGATCACTATCCTTTTGTCAGAGATCCTGGTTGTCAGAGACTGGGGGGAGTGGGAAGCGGTAAATAGGTAGAGCACAGGAAAGTTTTAGGGCAATGAAACTACTCTGTATGACATTATAGTGGTGGCTACATGTCATTATATTACATTTCTTAAAACCCATGCAATGTACAAGAGTGAATCGTAATGTAAACTATGGACTTTGGGGGATAATGATGTGTCACTGTAGGTTCATCCAATGTAACAAATGTAACAAATGTACCACTCTGTACCACTCCGGTGGGGATGTTGGTAATGGGGAGGCTTTGCATGTGTAGGGGCAGGGGTATATGGGAAATCTCTGTACTTTCCCCTCAATTTTGTTATGAACCTAAAACTGCTCTAAAAAATAAAGTCTATTAAAATGAAAAGCCAAAAAACAAACTGGGACATATATGTGACAAGGATTAATATCTTTAATACAGAAAAAAAGTATGTAAACTTAAAAAACTGAATGCCCAACAGAAAAAATGGCAAAGGTACAAGAAAAAACAAATCACTAGAGAATAAATACAACTAGCCAATAAAATTTTCGTGTCCAGAGTAATGAAATAAATG